GTGTGCGTGCGCGCGCGCGCGCGCGGGGGCGCGAACGTGTGTGTGTGTTTGTCGCTTCAGTGGACATGATTCAGAATAGCTGACGCGCGCAATCAAGTACAACAATGTATTCGATGTCAATGGGAGCATTATAACTGATCGGACGTGGTCTCTGCAAATACATGTTTATGTTCGTCAAAGTTCTATGATCGTGTCAGGTGAATCAGCCAGTACCTCGCTAACATAAAGTCGAACAGTTCTGTTTGCATCGAAAAATATAGTGAGACTTACACGATGTGTAATGTGCCGTTTTTTAATGAGATATAACGTCATGATGGGGTTATTTGCCGTTTGTTTTTTTAGTTAAGATATGTTCTCCTTTAATACTCAACCAATTTAAATCGTTTGGGACAGGCGTCTTTGCGGGCGGAAGCCTCCACTTTGCTGTGTTGTACTAAACAATGATGTGGTGTAGGAAATAATGGTGTGTTGTGGGAAATAATGGTAGTGTTGGACAGTGTTGTTGTAAGTCGCTTCTTTACAACATCATGTCCTTCTTTGAGAGGGATGTGTTAGTGTATTTTATGCAATATTTCATTTGAAATACCGGTACTCTTTACCGTAAGTTCACCTGTGTGAACAAAATACAGGTATGTGTTTTTCTTCTTCTTGATATAATCAGTGTGGATGTTAACTTTACAAGGATGTTGGAGAAATATTGAGTAGTTTATCACGGAGAGGCTTCCTGGCGTCCGGTTATTTTACTTTATTGTTTGTTTGTTGTTTGCTGACCTTGAGGATAGGCCTACATTTTTTTAATGGGCTTTTGCTTTTGTTCTTTATTGGTGCTTGTTGGTTTTATGTGGGGGTTTTGTTTTTGTTGTCGTTTTTGGTGTTGTCTTTGTTTTATTTTTAGAAGGGGGTTGGGGGGGGGTATACCATGGCGAGAGATGGTAGTTATTGGCTGCTCCTGTATTTGGGAGAAGAAGGTTGTTTTTGTTATTGTTTTGGGTTGGGTTTTTTTAGGGTGTTTTTGTTTTGTTTGTTTTCGTTTTGTTGTCTCTTCTTATTTTTATTTTTTAAATTTTTTTTTTTGGGGGGTGGTCGTTGGTAAGATGGAGGAGAGTTGTTTCTTCAATGAATACACGTGGGTGGTTGGCGGGTGCTCTGGTGTGGTTTACTTCTACGTTCCTATCAAACAACTATCGTCCTTATCTCCCCTTCTTCTTTCGTATGTTTGTTACTCTCTTGTATCACCTCTAATCTTCTGGCGCTCATATGACCTTATGCAGTTGCGAGCGCTGTGAAACCTCTACTTAAAAAATGAATACATCTCCCGTTCCTTGCTTTAAGCAAACGTTTGTTAAAAAAAAGTGTGTACACTCAACGAAAGCAGGAATGGAATTACACTTGTACTTTTAAATGAAAACCGTGCCCTGGGTTACAATGGTAAGCATACATACGTGAGTACATATTTAGAAAATACATACATATGGTAAAACCAAAAAAATATGATGTTGTTATTGCACCCCCTTTTTACAGTTTGACACACGTAGTACGTGTGATACATGATACATTGAATACATATTGTAGTTGGATTTGTCGTTTCCTCCTGATCTCCCAGTTTTGTATTGCCTCGGCACCCCCCCCCCCC